TCATCCTCCTCCTCCTCCTCCTCCTCCCCAACCAACCTAGACGACGAGGGAGCATGGCTCGATGAGCCGATGAGACCCTATGTGGCTACAGGCTGATAAGCTTCAACTGACCCAGCTCCAGCACACCCAAGCAGCCCTACCAGCTTGCGACAATGCTACACGAACTTCTGCACTCACAATGAAGCAAGGTCATAATAAGTATCAGATCGACTGATTGCAAGTGAACAAGATGCATCTGTTCCGAGGAGGCTGAAATTGTACCTTCATCGTCCCCCTGACTCTGGTCTCCGATTGTACGCTCCCGGGAAGATCACCTAGTGCATCTGAGGCTTCAAAGATGCATTTGTTCAGCTCACCAGACTGCAACGGCATAAGTCAGTCACGATGACGAATAAAATATTTTAAATACGATCGTCGGTTCAAACTTACCACTCTGTTGATGAGGGGTGCAAACTCCCTAAATCCACTGTGCATGTCTCTGATGCCGGACTAGTATGCCTGTTCATCGGGGTCATCCCTCTGCAGCTCCGCGATGTCTTCCGCCGTCCACCGAGGCCTGAGACGAAGACGGTGCTTCTGGCCATCATCGTACCACCTCATGTGTCGGCCCAGGTAATCATCCCAGTTAGTCACTCTCCTCTCCACGTCTTTACGGTACCTCCGTCGGTTCCACTCCGTCACATGAGTCTTATGCTCCTCTCCCCAGTCTGTGATCGACTGATTCTTCTGTCGGCTCATCCTGCAAGGCATAAGCAACAAGAATCATCATAAGCGCAATGAGATCATCATAAGAAACAAGAAACATGATAATCACGGAGAACAAAGAGCTCACAGGTGGAGCGCGTGGCCGACGCTATCGGTGGGCTGGCCCGGTGGGGTATGCTGATAAATCCCAAACTGCGTGGCCACGCGTTGTGGCAAATGCCACTCGACGGCGTACACACAGATCATGGGCACGATGCACCGCCAGAGACCATGGTCCGCATCGCACATCACGTTCAGATCAAAGTCCCATTGTCGTTCTTGTCGATACGGCCACCAGTTTACCTATTACATATACCTTGGTAAGTTCGCACTCTCGGTTAAAAGTGGAATCAAAGAGAAAGGTGTTGGGCGAGTTCATATACCTGCGTATGCGTCAAAGCGTCCAACTCGTTGGTGTAGGTCTTGTACGAAGTCTTGTTTAGGCCCGTGTAGAATTTGACAACGTCCCACTCGTAAGCTACGTGGGGTTTTGAGTCTCATCGCCTTCTTCGCCATAGTCTTTCCATGGGCGTCTTCGCAACTTCTTCGGATGCCCCACCTGCAGCCGCTCCCACATCCAAATGGAGAAGGCCCAGACAAAGCCACCCATATTGGACTTGTCTCCCGTCCTCTGCGTTGCGTCGTCAAGCTGCAAAACATCAAATGAGGATCAGATATAAGAAAATGTCATGGACACACTTTCGTAGGTAGGTAGGCAATTAGACACTCTCTTATAGAACGGTATAGGTAGGCGAGAGATGCGGTCCCCCAACTGTACTCTGCATCCCAGTCCGCTAGGAAGAACAGATACGCCCA